CATCCTTTACAGTGAAAAATTCTCCCCGGGGCTGAAAGATGAGGCACTATACATTCTGTACAGTTACTCTGCTAACAGGATCCATGTTACTAGAAAAGACAGCACAGCCTGTCTAGTTCGTAAAAGTTGAGCAATTTAGATCATAGCTGGACCAACCTGACTCTCCACACTAAAATTAATTGCAGAAAATGGTCAGGAAGAGAGGGGGGCAGAAGCAACAAGTGCAGCCACCAATTCTCCTTTATCCCATCATTTTTTTTTTTAACATTTCTCAATACCTATGCCTGATTTAGATAGCTACAATTCTCCAGACCTTATCAGACACAACCCAGAGGTAACAAACATTCAAACATAGAGGTAACATTAAAGACCTGGGAAATGAAAGACTAGACAGCTCAGCAGAGTGAAACCTGAATGCCAGGCCAACACTTGGTCATTTCTTCCTTCGTTTTGTCACATGAAAACAGCACGAGACAAGCCCAGACTCCAGTCACAGCGCAGGGACAAGAGCAGTGGGGATACAAACCTCTGTGAAGGAATTCTCTCACCTCACGGTAGAAGCCTTTTTTGGCAGAGGGGGATAATCTGCCTTGCCTCACTGTGCCAGTATGGGTGACTGTAGTTTGGGTTGGTGACCTGTGAGAACATAACAACTGCCTTTATCCTCTCATTGTTGCCTTGAAGGATTTTTTAGCTCACTGATCAATGACACAGTGGGTAGCATAGCTTCTAAAGAAATTCTTCATGACCAAGATCTTAACAATACATCGAAATGTCACAAAAAGTCAGCAAACACTCCAAAGGCTCACATTGCACATTCTAGATAGCAATACTGGGAATTTCTGGTTTTAGTATCTACAACAAAAAGTCCTAAAATGTCAGCATATTTAAAAGATTTTACCATATTTTTTTAAGTCTCTGGCTCATAAAATCTCTGATTATAAAAAAAAAAAAAAAAAAAAAAAGAGAGAGAGAGAGAGAGAGAAAACAAGACCCATTTCTTCCACATGGCATTTATTTCCTAATAATATCCCACGCTCATGCCAAGATCTGTGGGAGAAGGCTTAGGAGCCTTCTGCTAGAGCTCTCTTACAAAATTCCTCCCTTGCAGCTTCCTCCTGGACTGAAATGTGCCACCTGGGAACAACCCATGAAGACCACTTCCGAGACTCGAGGAACGGAACAGCTCACTGGGGATGCGCAATGACCAAATGCCTTGGTTTATGGCCAACTTCCATGTAGCCTTCTGTCAAACCTAGCAGTGTGAACACCTTAGAGCAGTCAACTCCTCTGCTCCACCATACAGCACTTGGCACAATGGAGCCCCAAATGATGACCAGAGGTCCTGGCCACCACGGAATAGAGGGGTTCAGCCCAAGTTGCGTATAGCTGAAGAGACAGATGGAAGAAGAAGCGATGAATACTTATCCCAGATTTTTTTCCTTCTATGACAGAAAGGTTCTGTGTATTGTACTGTCTGATGATGTCACTGAGAGAAGAGAAAGCTATCTTCAGAATATAGAAATCTATTGTGTAACAAGTTCAAATTAAATGAAACTGATTTCTCCATGTGTACAATGACTGCTGAAATACTTTCGCTAACGCTTGATGAAAAAGTAAAGTGTCACTAACGAAACAATTCTGTTAAAGTAACCAGCTTATTAAACAGAGAAGATAAATATACTTGGATAACAGAACTTCCAGAGTGCACAACAGAGGGATGCAATCAGCCAGTACAGTTACCATGAATTCACCAGAGAAGCTCAGAACAAAAGAATTCTGTTCAAAAAGTAGATCTGATAAAAGTAATCAAAAGGATGAACATACAGGTATACTGGTAGAGGGCAGGATAGGCATTGGACTGTGTCTTTGTAGTCTGTTTAATGTATGAATTAAACTGTGTATGAAATAAACTACACAACATGTAATGCTAATTCTCTAAAAAGGGAATATGAGTCAGAGCCTGGAAACATTTACTCACAAAAGCCATGAGTAGCAATGTTACTCACAAGTGAAAACCAGTCACACTACTAAGGAGTTAGGCAGTCTGACCATTTTTACTGGAATATGGACAGTAATAACAGCAATTATTGATTTTTAAATTATTCTCATAGTAATGATAGAAACCGAACTCTGAGCTTGTCCAAGGCACTTGCTGATTCTTTAGATAATTTTTAAAATCAAAAATGCAAGTTTCCTCAGACTCCTTTGATGACATGGGTAAATAATCCAACTTCTTTTTCAAGTGACACTGACTTTCCTTTGACTTTAATGAGCATCATTATATTGCTGTAGTACAACTGAATAATATACATGCCTAATGGTTGTCCTTGCAGCAATAAATTCTCTGATTTAATTTGTCACGTATATGCCTTCTTATCCTGTAATAGACATTTCTTCACTATTTAAAATAGTAATACCTGTGCTTCTAATGGTATTTTCTCTACTTGGAGAATACAGATTTAATTTATTCAGAAAGGTGACCTGGCATTGACAGAAGCTCCAAGAAACTCCAGATAGGAGAGAAAAATATTCATATAGTATTATTTTGGAAAATACAGTTGATGTACACTACATGCTATTCGCATGGGACTACAAATAAGACAGTCCAGAATCAAGATTCAGGTGCTTCTGAAGTGATAAAATTAAAGCTGGTTAGTAAAGATGCTCTGGGCATTCGTGAGACTGAGAAGACATTAGGTACAATGGCAACATCCTCTCTATCACGTTAACTTGGTCTTCCATTCATTTTAATTTTGGTATTTTGTTCTTTCAAGACATCTTGTCTAAAATTGTACTTTGCAAAACTTAACAGTAAATTAACACGGTTTTGGAATCTATGTGCATGTTATATAAATCTCCGATTAAATATAACACCGGGCTTCTGTTACTTCATGTGAAAAAAATCCATCCAGAGAAAGTATTCAAGAGTGCTAGGGATGTAGAGCTCTTCTCCCCTTTAGCTATGAAGTTGTTCAGCTAAGTACCTGGAATACCCTAACTGCGTTCCCTGTTACTGCAGGAAGAACTGAACTTCTAGAGATTATCTGACAGCTTTACTGAAGTATTGATATTTTACTGTTTTGACCTCTGAGGTCTGACATTGTAGGTTTACTTATAATGTACTAGATGTCCCAAAAGGCTGTAACTGATTTCAGAATTGGCTCATTATGCCTAGTATCTCTGTTGGTGTTTGTATAGAGTGGTTTAGTTCTTACTGATTTTACCCTCTCTTCTACTCCCACTCCCCATACTTTGTCAAATTACTTGAAAAATCTTACAGCTCATTATGAGAATTGGAAAGTCGTAATGCACAGGATCAGGAAAATCCCCACTATATTACAATAGATACAGATTTGATAATTTTGGTAACTTCTATATCTATAAATGCCAATTTTTTATTATTATGGCAATGATGGTAGAAACTGAAGAGGTGCAGCTCAAACTAGTGCAGTTTTCATTGATACCAATGAAAGCTGAATTTGTACATCAGAAGCCCAAATTACAGCAGGTTCATACATTTCTCTGTTAACTGAAAAATTAAGAATTATCACAGCACGCTGTAAAGGGGTGTACTTTAATTTTGGTTATAACACAGGATCTAAAGCACTAAGTAAATACTATCTGAAGTAATTTTCCCCAAAATGTTCAGAGATTCTTTTCCCATTTTGCTACCAGTCTTTGAGATAAAAACTTATAAAGCATCTAAGTTTAGTAGGATTATATATAGTTAGGACAAGTATGTCTTTCTTGAAGTAGAAAGTTGACAGTTCATTTTTCACTACTCTCACTGTGGCAAAGTGCATACATGAACTCCTGCAGCATGACAAAGGGGCCAGTTTGATTACTGCAGGTAATAACTTGCTCCTGTCTGTTTCGTTAAAACGCTAAAGTTAAATTTTTTAATTAAAATTTTAGTCTCTCTGACACAAGAATAGAGGGGGAAATCTGTTGGGAATACCAGTGAAAAGTGCAGGGAAAAATACTCAAGAAATAATCTTATTAAAACTTGTCCTTCAGTCTCTTGAACAATAGTTTTCTTTTAGTACGGAGGGAAAGCCTTGAGTAAATGAGCTGTTTTCTTGTTTAATGTGCTCTAATATGAAAAAAATTACAGACTTAAATCTATGCAAAAGGATTCTCCTTCACACGGGCTTGTTCTAAGGGTTTGTCTTCATCAGCTGTAGAGAGCAGTGACATATTATTTTTGCATTCCTGTGGACTGCAGTAAATTGTCCCTTTTGGCCATCATTGTTTCCTACAGAAGCAACAATGGCTTCCATTTATCACAAGCTGACACCACATGGCATGCAAAATTACGTTTCACACTGCAGCATCCAAAGTGATGGTGTAAATAAAAACCACTTATGTAAAAAGTCTAGCAACCAGCAAAAAAAATAAAAGGAAAAGTATAACTGGTTCGAAAAACAAAGTAACTTTTCATGAATCACAGTGACTTCTACTTCTAACCAGCAGCTCTGAAAGTGTCAACTAACTTCAAAGCAATCTTACAGAACGCATAGAAAAAAACTGAAGGGGCAGATGCTCCAGAGAAGGCAGTGAAATTTCACCATTAAAAAAACATTCTTATATAGTTTTTCTGGAAACATCAAAGCATGGTGCAGCTGTTAGTACGTCAAAGAAGTATTGTGTTCCCTCCAACAATTCACTGGTGTCAGCTTGTGTTTGGTGGTATTGATATTAGAATAAGCAAACGCAGTGGCCTAACAGTGACTCTGGGGTCTTTTTGTTTCAGTTGCTGATGGTGGTATCAGCGTCTGCGAGTTTTTATGTACAGTAGGTAACTCCCCTCCCCAACTATCAAAGGCCATTTCATTGTAGGATGTAAAGGGCTCCTCCCCAGCAGGGCAGCCAACATCCACCTCAGTTGTCTGAGAAATGCCTGAACTTTTGTGTCCTCCCATAGGAATTCTGGGGTATGCCTTGGCTATTTCTCTGACGTCTGGTTTTGATAAGTGATTTTCAGAGCCTACTGTCTCCTAGGAATTCTCCAGGAAGAGACTGGGTGAGGTCATTCGGCTTTTCACTGAGTTTCCTTTCTCTGTTTTTGGCCGTTCTAGTGAACATGACCCTCTAGCACTCAGGAATATTTCTGTTCCCTTAGGAACTATCGACCACTTGCTGGTTTTATCTCTGCACACACAAAAGCTCCATGTCGCTGAAAGGGGAAACAAGGTTGACATTAACCAGGGGAACATAAGCAGCTCGTAGATGCAGCTGTGAGCTGAGTTCATTTATTAGCTCAAGTGCTGGCAAAGCTTACACTTGTTTCTCGGCCTCTCTACTGGCCACTGGCCTAGGTCCGAATAGCTGAAGGCAATGGAATAATAGCTGGTTTGTCAGCCCATTTTATTCATGAAATGAGGCACGGCAGGAATACTTGGAAAGAAGCAACAAGTAAAAGAAAATGCATCTTATTTTCTCTGGTTCACAACCACTCCGCCTCAGAGTGTGTGTGACTTGCATACGGCTCTTCTGTACGAGACTATTCATATCAGATTTCATTTCTTGCTACATGGGTTGCTATGGATACAATTCCGAACTGCTGCTTTTGTAGGCCAGGAGATTTATGACTGCATCCCAAATGATTTTGCTCATCAGAGTCACACAAGATTTAAAATTTTTTTTTTTTTTCTAAATAAACAGAAGTAGAAACAAACATACCCTGTATTTCTCAAAATATTTTTCACAACATAATCCTGTATTATGGATCTTCTTGAAGTCTACCAGAATCTATGGATCAGTCCCCTATTTATACTAACTTACCAATTTATAAGAAGTGTATAACCATACAAACTCCTGAGAGCCAAGGCCTAGCAAAAGTTTTGTCCAGTTTCTGTTTTCATACGGACCCTTATGCACTAGCCCTTATTCTAATCTTACTCATTCCAGCTTTTTCACATGCACAGTTTGGTTCAGTGCAGTCACAGCATAAACAGACTCTTCAGAAATCTAAATCATGTGATTTATGATTAGGTTATTGTTTATCAAAACTACAGGAAGCCTGGGTGCTACAATACACACAAATACAAAATAGAACATGTACAAGTAAAACAAAAGAGCAGGTAATTAGTATTAACTACTAGCTCTTCTAACTCATCTGACAACAAATCTTCATGTTAAACAGACTGTCGGAAGTTCTGGGATAAACATACTCCTCCACCTTCCTGGATGCTATTAATCATACAGGATGCACATTGTCTTACCTCTCCTCGGGTGGGTTCATTAGCAGACTCTCTGGCGTTGTACTGATGGCTAAAGGAGGTCTGCTCCTGTAAAATCTCTGGAAGCTCCAGGAACTGCAAGTGGAACTGAAAAATATAATATTGTTAGGGAGCACTTGTACTACATGATCCAAGGCAGCCCACACAAACATGCTGCACAAAAGATAAGTGATCGCTGCTTTTCTTGAACTGCTGAAGTTACCTTGCCAGACATGTGAAACCGCAGCAGTCACCCTGAGTTGGATGCTCAGCTGTGCTTGCACAGGCCAAGACAGCACAGGGTCATGTTAAGGGGCAGCGTTGCTGAGGTGGCGTCAGAGCAGTGGTGTCACTGCACTCAGGATGAAGGCCAGAGTGACAGTTTGGAAAAGCATTTCAATGTGATCGCTTCTAAAGTGCATGACTGAAAAGGCCTGTCAGGTCACTTGGCAGGTGCATGAACATTTCTTATGGTATCTTCCTTCTTGTTTTCCCGTGGACATTTTACCTCTTCCCATTACCCATCGCCTCTGCAGAACAGCTTAAAAACTGCACCATCAATGATTCAGTACCAGTTGCCACTACACCTTTATCAGCAGTCTTCCAGGCAATTTTCCATCCATTAACACAACAGTATTGCCCTCTAAATGAACATGAATAATTTTCACTGTTAATATTTAATGAAACACAGACCGACCCATTACTTTGATCCATGACACATCTGGGCACAAGAGGAAGAAAACAAATGTCAAGCACAGTTTAAATACTCTCTATCAAATTTTCCAAATTGACCAGCAATTTTAAATTTTCAGCTCAAGATGTGGCATATGACTAGATCCACTGGTGGACAAGTGCTCAAAGCTTTCTGAAATGCAGGGCTGCTTAAAGTGTTTCAAGTGGGTCAGGCTGTCTCACTAATCACTGTTGAAATGTAGGCCGCTGCACTTCCATTCGCACAGTGGTAGCACAGCAAAGTTTTTAAAGTCACTGGGACATAAAAGTCTCAAATAAACCCTTGATGGATGACCAGAGCTGGAACAGAGTACATTTATAGTTGGCATCTCTATGATACAACTAGCAGCACATGAATAGATGCTGGCTTATTGCTATGACGTCACTGGACTAAGACCTGTATCTGCTGAAAAGGTGCCATTCTTGTTGAAAAATATATATGACAATAATGATATTCCATTAATATGTTGATAGGCATCTACTGTTAACTTCAAAAGACCACATTTTGTCAAAAAACACAGAAAATAATCGGAATGGCCTACATCAAGCTCTCTGCTGCTACAGCCAGACTGGCTCCTAGTAACTGAACCAGCCAATTTAAGAACATTTATTTCGGTAACATGCACCATCGTACAGAAATAGTGGTCCACAGGCCTCATATAGCAGCAAAGGCCAGATCAGGTACGTAAGTCTAAGTGTGATAACCTAAAGCCTTTTGTTAGAGTAACAGCAGAGGAAACAAGATATGCACTGAGAAGATAGGGAAACAGAGGTCAACAGTACAAGTTCCTCAAGGTCAACGTAACTGACAGGCTGTGCTTAAGTGCTTGGCTGCCAGGCACAGCAGGCGAGGAGGGAACGCCTGTGACAGAGAACTAAGTGACCTCCCAGTCTTTTTGCAAACCAGTTGCCTCAAGGTTGTAGTTAACACAGAGCAGCTTGCTATATTAGTGCATGGCTAGTATTGAGAAATATACTGAAGACCGTTAATATGCTGAAAGCAGTTAAATAGTACTAACATGGTTCTGAAGATAAAGCAGATAGATCTACATTCAAGTATGGTGCTAGCAGTTTTAGGCCAATCATCATCTTCTCCGCAATTGTAGAGCAATCCTGGGCAATGACAGGAAAAGTCACACCTTGGCTTCACTAGCCACAGAAGCAGAATAGTGATATTTACAGTCTGGACATGCAAACAAAACTTTTGAAGTTCCCACAAAAGGGTGCGCACACACATAGATTTGGAGATGTTCTTGGAGCCCTACCAGCATGAAGCTGGTAGCTACAACTTTCTGTGCAGGAATTGATACACGTTTAGAATTAACCCTCCTTCATTTGCATGGAGAAGCAAGTGTTTATTTTGGTAGAACTATAAATTGCCTATCTGATTCCTGATGACAGTGTTTAATAACTGAATCTATATATGCAATTGAAGAAGACCTTATAAGTGAAAAATAAAATAAGTAAATAAAAATAAAAGATAGAAATTCTAATTCTCAATTTTCATAGTGGAATACAGAGGTAAGAAGCATATTAATAGCAATCATGGTAGTAGCTGCATGAACAACACTGCTATAAATTCTACAGACTCTGTTTTTGCTACATGGAAAATGCCATTCTTTAGAGACAAGGTAGAATCTGAATTGCTCAAAACCACATGTGAATAATGCCATTGTTGAAATTTTGAGTGTGCATGTGGTTTACATAAAAGTAGTGAGGATTTCTTTCTCAGTATCTGAGCACCTGCACAGATGATCAAAACTGTTTTCTTAACAAATTACTCAAAGTAAGTTTTGTTAGCTTTTGAATATATTATCTATCCTAATACATTTCAGCACATTAGTTTTGCAAATTAATCTTCTATAAAAAGACATTAGTTCATTTCTCTCAGTGGAATTTTAGACATCAGAATTCTATTCATAAAATATTATGTAAATATTCTAATAGAGAATCTTAATAAGTTATTATTTCCAATAAACAACTTAAAAAATGCACATGACTGAAAAGAAGAATACCAAATTTGGCTCTCTGCTCTCCTTTCACAACAGTGCAAATCATCTTAGGAAGAACATGTATCCTTGTTTCATCATAATGACATTTCACTCCATACACGTACAAGTCTTGCATGATGAGGCTCATAAGGGTGGTCAATACACACCCCCAAGACACTCCAACGATATCACTGCAAACACTTCTAGAGTTAAAGTCCTAATCTAGTAATTTCCCTAAATTTTAATGTGTATGTCAAAGAGTGATTTGATACGTTCATTATTTTCAGCAAGAGGAATTAGCATTGCTTCAGTAATTTGAATGATTCTGCCAACTGTGTCTCACAGTGGCAAAGGGGTTTTGGCTGCAGAATTAAAAGCTTGACCATTGCTCACAATTCAGGGAGTAAAAGAACACATTTTTCAGAAGTCCATATTGAGATTATCCAAAAGGACAGGCCTGGTTGCGACACAGAAAGAAGTCTGTGACACACAGATATGCAACATCCACTGCAAGCCTTGTGTTGCTGGTGCGGATGCTTGAGGAAGGATGCAGTGATCCTTCCTTGGCTGGATCATAATCAGGCATCTTTGCTCCAGTGCTGATGGCTCAGTGAATTGTAGATAGCTGGACAATCTGCAGAATATTTTAAACTGGTAGTTGCTTCATCTGTTAAAAATGCTCTCTTCCAGCAGCCTTTATCACCTCCCTGGTGTATATACCTGTGCTTGATGCAGCAGAAGTTAGTAGGGCCTTGGTAGGGAGGAAGCTTATTTCTGAAGTTTGAAAATTATATTAATCTATTTGTGCAGCAATATGCAACTACTTTGACACTTTACCCCCCCCCAAAAAAAAAAAACAACAAAACCAAAACCAAAACAAAACCAAACAGATAGGTTTAGTAGGTGCAGGGCATCTCTAAAAATCTGTTCAAAGAGCCTGGACTGCAGCTGAGCAACTTAGCAAAACTAGATCTAGCTGTTAAAACACCTCTGAGGAGTTGCGGTAAAAAGAGAGGGGATCCTTATAAGCCTCAGGAGGCAATAGCCCATGCAGCTAAGTTAGCACATAAACCAGCACCAACTATTGTTTTATTGGATTCCTTTTGGGGGGAGGGGAGAGCACTGAGCAGGAAGGAATTTTTATGCATATATTCATACACAAAAGGATTATTTTTTCATCTATGCAAAGTCAAAACACACTGGAACCATAAATTACATTCTGGATAAGTGTTCAGAGTTTATATCCTTTTAAGGAATACAGCCTAAAGTTAGCACCCCACTTCCAAGGTATAATCTTCCATCACTGTTAGATGCTGCTGCCTGATCGCAGCCAGACAACTGGCTCAACACCAAGATCACAAATGTGCCAACATATGGAAACAATTGCTTTCCTTTTGATTGGAAATGACATATTCTGGGTGTGTGCACAACATCCCCCATCAATCATCCAAAATGGTTCATTATTTGGACTTAAAGTTGTTATCCAATAGAAGATCCCTAGAGCCTTGTGTGAAGGGTAGGAAAGATATTTACAAATGCCAGAAAGCAAAAGAGCCTCTGCACTGTGATAGCTTGTCTGAGCCACACTGTGTCCTGACTGAGCTCAGTTCCTCCTCTGTACAAGGTTGTGTTTCATACACCAGCACCGATGTTGCTTAATGCCAAAGCAAATAAATCTTGAAATTATACCTGCATAGTAAGGCTGTGCTGGCTGCTGATCACCCCTGGGAATCCAGCAGACTTCCACACATCAGCAGTCTGAGCAAGAAGAGTGAGTGGAAAGGTTTAATAGCAAATACTTGACCATAGATTACATGCTTTGACACTGGTAACAGCCTGACTGCCTCAATGAAGTTGCAATAGCAGAAAGCCTGGAACACAAGGAAAAAATCAAGAGAATTTTTGTTGTAACCATGTGGATGATCTGGAGAGAGAAAGATCAGGAAGGCAAATTCCTGCTGAGAATGCAGGGAAAGTCTGTTTCAAACAGTTTTCTGGGCTCATACAACAAAGGATAGTGAAGGGAAACAAATGCAAATAACTTCCTAAAGAATTGCTGGTATAAAAAGAAAGACAGGAGAAGTCTTTTTTAAATCAGTAAATACTAGTGATGGTGGTACTTTTGGAGTTACTCTGGGCAGAGGCCTTATGTATCCCAGGAACAGGCCCACAAACTAAAAATGCAATTGTAGCTCAATGGAAGCGAATACATATTTTTCCATTGCTTATAATAAAGCCAAGGGCTCATGTGAATGTTTGAAGTCTGCTGGTGATAGGATTGGCTATTCCACACTAATGTAAATTCTGCAATTAGTTCTATGGACTACAGAAAGAGAGAGGCTTTCACATGGAGGACAAGTAGACAGAAGCAGATCTAGCTCTAGTGTACAGCAGACAAAAACCATCAATGTGGCTTTTTGGCAAGAGGAAGACTATTATAATGACTAAGGTCCTATATGGGCAATCAAGAGAAACCAACTCAATACCCACCTCTGTATGGCCTTCCTGTGAGAACAAACATGGGTCTCTCAAAGGCAGATTTTTTCCAATGTATTTGGGCACTCGAAGATGCAGACAAACACCACACAGGATTTACAAATGCATCAATGCAGGCTAGATGTTTACCAGCACCTGTTTGTGTCCTTTGGGTCTCCTATCTGCAAGAAGATTACAGATGTCATATATTCATATGACAGCCAAATTCTACCTTCAGTTGTACACCCAACATTTCCATGTAAGTGAGAAAGAAGAGTGAGCTCATATCTAAGGATGGGACTTAGCCCCAAGTAGAATAGGAAAAAGGATTTGCTGCATGACAAAAATAGTCCGAGTGCCTTGTCACATCTGACAAATGCCTCAGATGGCATAACACAGATTTGTGGTGGTGCTATTAAAATAGATTTTATTTCCACCGAATAAACTGATTTATTTTCTCAGGTAGGTTGGTAGCCACTTTCTCACTGGCAGTGAAAATGGGGCTTGACATCAGTGGGTATCAGGGAACTAACCCTTATACTGCTCTGAGAATTCATTTCTAATGCATCCCCTCACTGCCATTTGCTTATGAGCTGTTCTAGGCTGGATGCTGCAGACCATAGAGCTCCTCATCCACACTTATTCACAAGCGCTGCTCAAATGAAAGAAGAAAAAAAATAAAAAATTCCAGTCATTTAGAGCATGGGTTGTCAAATTAGGCCCTTTCTTGTTAATAGCAAGGTGTTATGATGTGCCTGAGTTAAGATGTTTTCAGTCATACAAAATAAAATCAGGTCAGATCCTCACCTAATCTAAATTCCTAAAGTCAGTGGACCTTGCTGCAGACAAAGATCTACGTAGTAGCTCTGATCCACTGCTGCTCCCTGCTAACTAATATTTAATTTGTGCTCCTTTACAGTCTTTCTGCATTTATCTTTTGTAAACAGAAAGGCCATATTAACAAATAACACTGGAGGAACTGTGTTTTAGTTGTGAACATAAACTGTGATGAGTCACACAAAACCCACAAGACAGCTGATGAGAAACCAGCTTGCTTCTCCTATAATAAAAGCTGACTGCCCAGATGAAAAGACCACAGCCTCTAATTCGTTTTGGTTTGAAAGACCAGAAGTTGGCAATTACGTTTTCCAGCAGATACTGCTCTGGCGCAAGAGAAATATTTGTTCATCTGACTCTAGCTGGCAGACAGGCAGTTGTTGGGTGTGTACCACACAAAGAATAGTTTCATTTTTGGCATGGTATAACATTGCTGAAATACCAAAGACCATGGTTAATTAAGTAGAGTGATGGAACAGAATGATTTGATGATAAGATTTAATTGGTATGAACATTCTCATAGACTAGTTACTGTATCTGTCTGGGAGGGCCAGACATTCAGCTGTGTTAAGCATTGCTCAACGGTGGCTGTGGGGGTAAAGGGCACAAGGGTGCCCTTTACTTGCTCTCGGTCCTGGGACTACTCAGCAGTCAGGTCTTAGGGTGCAATTTAGAGTAGATTGCACCAGTCTTCTGTGGCCCCAGTCTGCTGTCACAGCAGCTGAAAATCACCAGGATCATTCCTAACCCCTTGCCCCCACCATGCCCCCACAATGACTGCTGGGGAATGGAGTTACAGAGGAGCTGCTACAGCAAACCTGCACTGCCCAGAGACCATGCCATGGAGAGCTGGACTGCTCCACCTGCTTCACACCAACAGACGGAGCACAGACCAGGATCCCACCATTAACTGGGTAAATGCTGTTGCTTTCAGTTGATTATTCATAATCAAGCTGATTATCTTAATTTTCTCAGTGAGAAACAGTGCTTGGCTAAGCCACTTGGAACTTAATAGAAAGATATTTGTTCCGCAGTTTGGCTGACATCAATAAAACAGGTTCCCCTGGTATTTGCTATCTGTACCTCCACAGAAGCTTTCCACAAGTTGCCCATTTGGGACTCCAGATTGTACAAAGCTGGTAGTGCTGCAGTCGCCACAGTTACAAACAAAATCTATTAAGGGCTCCCACAAGGCCAAAAATCATGGATCAAAGCCATGGAGCAATAACCAGAATGATATTAGGACCAGTAAACTGGTATTGCCAAGGGGAAGGGCTTGCATTTCAGAGCATGCTCCTTCCTTGGACATGGATGGATGATCAGAGCATCCTGTTACAGGCCACTTCCATCTGCCTCAACACATGGTCAGCATCAAACAGGCAAGAGAGCCAAGATCTTTCCTAGAAGTGCCTGAAATATTTCTGCCACAAGGGTATGTATTATTTGTGTTCAACACATGTTTAGGTCACAAATTTGGGCAACATGACACAGGGAAGAGTGTCACAGGCTTCAGGATCCTTCAGGTAAAGGTAGATATATACAGAACACTCAAAAGTTGTTCTAGCTTTCACCAGTCATCTCTGCAACAGCCCTAAATTTCACTGCAGAAAGAATGAGAAAACTGAAAGTAATTCTGTAAATTGTCACTTTCACCCTTCTCCTCAGTGTTTAGCAAAAGCTGTCACGGTTCCAAATGTAGCTTTTTATTTTCCACTACACAAGCGTAACTTTACACAGTAAACCTTAAGCCATTGTTTCATAACTCACTCACATTTGGCTATGGATTCAATGAAAAATAATCTACACAATTAAAAAACTCGCAGCAGTTTGGTTATAACAACAGCCATTCGATCTCAACACTAAGTGATGCTGCATATATCAAAAGCTATATGTATGGTTTAACTATTGCCTCCAACTTTCACTCCTATATGCTAACACTGGGACAGAGACCCCGTGAAGAGTCAAGAGGACCTATCTGCTGAAAGATTTGTCCCTATCTGTATTACGACATTGTTTTTCTATGTTATTCTCCTCCACTAGCAGAGAAAAAGAGCCAACAACTGCCATTCTCTTTCCCCTCCCACCCTGGGAGGAAAGAAAGCCAGAAGATGCTAATTCTTGCTGTAATGTCAAACCCCCTGTTTTCTTTGAATGTTATTGTCCCCCTTGTACTGCCAGAAACCTTGGGAGCTCCAAAATCTGCCCAGATAGCATCACGTTTGCTTCTGGCTTTGTGGTGCCTTGCAGAATGAATCTGCTTCATCAATTACTGAAGAGAAAGAGCCCTGAGCAAGCAGCCACTCCCCTCCTTAAACCAGGACAGACAAGAAATTGTCCCTCTGTTCAAGAAAATATCTCCCCCTCTTTCTCTGTAATTATTATAATTGCCAAGGTTTTTTGGAAGTATTTTAGCACTGCATAATCTCTGCCCTATTCCCCTCACCTCTCAGATTGCTCTGAATTTGCCAACTAGGGAGCCCCTCTCTCCAGACTTGAAAATCTAAAACTTCTTATTAGCCCACAGAAACTGAGCATCTCAGAGCCTCAGAGTAGTATACCTATTTCAAGTATATCAGGCTCCGATAGTCGAGAAAATATATTGGATTCTTAAATAATCTGTTGTGTTTCAATGTGTTTTCTGGCACTGAAATAGTAACCCACGTGACAAATATTTTTAGTTGAAGACAATGTAGTTCAGCAGTAACACTCTGGTCCTCAAGAGTGCTGTTATATGCTGCTCCCTTGGAATATCCTTTGGTGACAGCGGCAGTCTCTTCTGATCCTCCTGGCACAGTTAGTGAGGGTGTTGGCTCATCAACCAGTTGCCTCAGTAAATATGCATGGAGTCAAGAAATGCAGAATTGCAGCTGCTCTCCAGCAAATTATTCTTATAAAAATAAGTGATGAAAATCACAGTAGCAGCAGTTTGAGTTGACTTGCTGGTAACAGTGCTACCAGGCACATAAAGGGACACATTGAACAAGTACAGACAGCTTTTCTAGCCAGTCAGCTCAGCTGTTACAGATGTGCTTTTGGATGAGTCTTTCCCCCTCACATAAAGTCTGATTTTTATGGAAGACTTAGATCCCCAAATGCCCTACTTGCAGAGAATAAAATGTTAGTCATTATGCTGACAAAACACTAGCAAGAGGGAGAGAGCCTGTCTGAGCAGTTTCTAACAAATGGGTCTAGACTTGCTCTCATTAACTTGCTTTAGAGATGGCTGGGGAAAAGGACAAGAGAATGTATTCTGCCTGCCTTGAGCCCTGGTGAGACAGCCCTTCACTAGCACTGTGTTAGTCTGGGCTGCGAAGTGCAGTGCAGCAGCCAGAAGCAAGCACTCAGGTAGGAGGCCATTCAGTCAGCTAAAGTGGGGACTGCAAACTATTGTCCTCTGACAGCAGAATTCAGTCAAGCTCTCTCAAAAATATTATCTGGTATCTATACATTAAAATAGCTGAAGGAAGGTTCTTACAATCTTACAGCCTCCAGACGCGTATTTTTTAAATGGAAGTATTTCCTCATGTGATAACTCAAAAAGGTTTGGTTTTTTGCATGCCAGAGGAACAGTTGTTACTAATACAGTTATTTAACGGGTGAACTCTGCAAGCAAAGCCTTTCAGTTTTTATAGCTATTTACTCAGGATGGAAGAGAGTCAGAAGGAAACACCTCGAGTCATATCAGTAGGGTAAATTCTTAACACATATTGTTAGAAGGAAACAAAAATCATATCTGCAGATGGGTGCTCCCCATAAAGTGTAGTTTGAAAAATGTACATTATTTGCTATTTCTGAATGTAGACAAAACCGAAATACATAACTTTGAAATCTGTTAGCAGATAGCAACTATTTGACAGTGTATGCAGTGCAATTCAGCCAGGTAATGTTATTTAATATTAGAGAAGAGCTTTAAGGGTTTTCACCTATTCCACATGAAGGCCATTGCTGACTAAACTCAGCTGGCAAAACCTACTCAGATCAGTCTCTGAAGATCAGTTCTTTGGGTGCTCTGTAATTCAGCTGAGTGTAACGATACATGTGACCCAATGATGCTTTTAAATCAGAAGATGAAATTCCACATACACAACTAACCACAAAACTGTAATTAGTGTTTCTAAAGTGTCCCCCCTGGACACTTTAGTGGACACTATCCACTACACCACCACCCTGCCGCTACTGCTAAGCCCATTCTGACACCTAATACTAGCCTTCTGAGGAAATAAATTCTGTGGCTACATGAAGTCCCAGACTGATTTTAAATCTTAATTGTGGGTTGCTCTAAGGTTGATTATCTCATTCAGATGTTTAGAATTTTTTTTACTATGGTTATTTCATGCCACATATGTATCTACCATAACACTGAAAGAGGAAGCACAAATTGTTCACACCTGTTTTGTCTTGATGTCTTTTGTTCCTGTATAGTATAGTGGCTTGTTTAGCAACCTGACATTGGAGCTAATTAATCTTGTGTAATGTGGGGATTGTTGTGCCACTGGCAAACATTAGCAGTGTTTTCTTGGGACAGATACAAAGTCTCTGTTGACAACTCTTACGCATAGTTCAAGCACATCAATATTAAATATTCCATAAGTATTTGAGCTAAAAGACAAAAGCAGTCAATGAAAAAATTTTTACACCAATACGTGCACTCTACACATTTATAACTGTTAAATATGTTTATACCAAGAAAACAAAAAAATATGTCAGTTGAGAAGTCAGTAGGCCCTAGAGAATATTATTCACTGCTCTGAAACTAGAATAAGGTTTCAGTGGAGTTATTCTGGTATAATCTGGGTTTAAGTCTCAGCAAAAGCCAAAAATTAGATTCTGTTCTCATTCAAACTAATTTTGTTCCAGTTACTCCTGAGTCATACTAGAGAAATGAATGTCAAGTTGTACAAATAGTTGCAGTGAAAGTGTTAATGTCTTAGTTCTTCTAAATTAAGAATATGACTCATTCACATCTACTATATGATCCTGAAGGCACAAAACTGATACAAATTCCTGGACTGGATTGCCTATTTTTGAGATTTTAAAACACATTCAGTGTTTTATTCCTGATTTAATTATGTGGGTTTTTTTAATCTAGCCATTGTGCCAGCTCTCTCAAGTGATAACAGCTAATTTCAAAGGTTTTGACTATTCTTATCAGTTGCTTTGGACACTGATTAGCTGAGGTTTCTCCCGCCTCATCAAATATTGGTCCTCTGATTCTGCTTGCCAGTGGTTTCTTTCAACTTGCCTTAGTAATCTTTCCCAGAATCCCTCAATTGCCTCTCTGTGACTTCCCAGATATTCTCTTCCTAGTCTTCTACTCCTTTTCCCTTGTACCACCCCATAATGACAGCTCTGATCATACTATTGACACATTAATAATATGGTTACCATTGTCTTTCGCATCCTTTCCTCTGTAGCCTATTATTTTGATCCAACCCATCTTTTCGATAGAAACCCATTAGAAGCAATTAAGTACTTTAGTTACAAAAGGAAATAGGTCTCTACTACAAAACATTCACCCAGCTAGTTCAGTCATTTCAAGGAAATAGTGAACTGCACTTTTATTGCAGTGATAAACAGAACCAATACTGAAATATACAGTTAATGTTTAAAAACAGAAATGCTCTCCATCAAGACCACAAGCTATTTTCTGATAAGAAAGGAAAAGTCTTATGTATGCTGTAACTTGAAGTCATAGACAAGAAACCAACTTCACATATCAACATATCAGCTTCTTGTCTCAGAATATTCAGCTGATAAAGAGCTAATAAAAATTCACACTGCTGTTTCCAACAGCACACCTCCATAGTGAAACATCAGAGTAACCGTTAGCCTTATTGCTGTGCCTAGAATGTTGTCATATAAACTGGGCCCTGTGTCACCCAGTGTGCAAATACACAGTGGAAAGACAGCCTTTCACCTAAAAATCTCATCTAGCTCTCAAAGAAGTAATTTCTTCCACTGTCTTTGATCGAAGAGGGGCATCAGCTCTCTGAAGTGTTTCCAGTCTAGTTTTATTCTACATACTAATTTTATTTACAAATAAATGTCTTTTATTAACAGATTTTATTGGACTTAAAGATTACCGCTTTTCCTATAGTGACTTTCTGTAGCTACAGCACCGTGTGTCAATTCAGGATTGTTTATCAGGCACTTTGGTTTCTAAGTTAGCCACACTTGTACCTATTTATATTTACATATGCACCTTACATAAATTCTTTTAGGGCCTCAGAAATACAGCGTTGGTAGGACATCCTGATCATTCAAACAAACCTGTTGTTGTAGGCAACTCTGCCATATGATCCTTTTTATGCATTTTCTAACTCTATCTTAGTAATAATTCAGATTTTGCCCATTACTCCTACTCTTGTCGTGCCAGAGACTCACTGCTCACAAAGTCAAAAGCTACCTCATTTTCAGTGTGATCAGTTTCTTGGGCCAATAAAGCCCCAGTCATTCTTATCCAAGTATTATTCTTTAGCTAAAATTGGTTATTCTTTCTGCTGAGACCCTGAGTGCTTACCCCTATAACATGAGCAGAAATAGCAATGACATTCTCTATTACATCTGTTTCTTTCTGAATGGGTTTTAAAAAGAGGCAGGTTCTCCATCTTTTTTCCCAAATTTGGCTCTTTCATCTCATGATTATTGTACTCACCCCAGCTGAACCTGCTCCAGTTCAACTTCTTGAACCTCCTGTACATTCTCAACTGTCAGACTGCACACAGTACAATACTATTAACACTTTTCTCTCTCGTCTGGGTCATTCAGCTCTTTCTGTTCATCATCCTGACACTTTCTCCAAATTATCTCTTCAATAAGCACATTTTCACTTCTTCCCAGTGTTAATATTGAACATACACACACATATGTATGTGTGTGCATGAGTCCAGTAAGACTGAATTTGATGAACTTTCCCATTATTTACCATACAACTCACTGTCTCATATCAGCTCTCTACCCACTTTCCAATTTCTGAACCAGGGCCTATCTTTTTTAGTTTTACTTTTATGTTCTCATGTTACCCAGGAATCACTGCATCAGTTTGTAAATCAATGTTGATTTGCACTACCATGATTTTCCTGTCTAGAAAATCAGATATGTTAACAAAATTTTTAGAAAGTCCAGGTTAACACTGTTATTCTTTTTTCCATTTGTTCTAGAGTCCTAAATGAAGTAATAATCAAGTCTTGTCACTGGGTGAAATTATCTCATTAAGTGAGAAGCTGGTAACAACATTAGACACTGACCAACATTTTTAGGTACAGACTACAAGACTAATGACCTTTTTTCCTGGCATTCACATATTTTCATATCAGAAATTCTACACTTCCTTCTTTTTCTTGTCCATGATTTATTATTGCTGAGGGTAAGATCTTGAATCCTAAACGCTCAGCATTCATCAATAATTTCTACATCATCAATCTCAGGCTGCTAATCCTTATGTACTCCAACTTCCATACATCTTACAAATATCTATCTAATAAAAATTAGTACTCATATTCTTGTAATCTTAGCTTTTTAATTTTTAAAATTCATTTACAGTTTAACTGAAGACTGGATGAGGCAAAGCAGGAGGTTTAGGTTTGTATTAGGTTAATTATTATTATTATATAACAACCAGGATGTAATATAGGCATTATCTGTATTACCCTCACAGGGAAAGAAAGGGGCCTAGAAGAGGCAGACTTTTCTTTTGGTTTACAGTTAGTCCTTGTCCTTTGGTTTTCATTCCCCCTCAAATTCTGGACACACACAAAAGTCTCCTCAGAGGTCTGTGGCAAGAGTGAACATTACCGTAACGGTGGACAGGCACTTTCAGAGATGACCGAATAGCAACTTTTCCCTGCATGCATTTTACTAGATGTGTGATTGGACCCTGAGGTACTAGCTCCCAGGCTAGATAATTCAGTCCTACTTTGTTGATTCCCTTCTGCTCCAAAGTAAATCACTGGGATTGAAGTGATTACTTCTGTGGAAGACAGAGATAATGAAGTGGAAAAAGCCTGGCCAATAATCTTCTCATTAATCTTCCAGCAGATGTTTTTGCTTTTCAACCTGATACTCATCTCCCTGCCTGTCTGCTAAAGTAGTTTTATTACGAAACAATCTTATTCTGCAGTTGTACATGAACACAAAAGAGGGCAAAAGAGATTAATGCCTTTATGCCAACTTTGAGCCCTCAGAGTCAGGGCAACCTGTTGCATCTCCCTCTTCAAGATCTTTCACTGGCCCCATATTGAAAAGTCCTGACATTAAAGTATCTCCAGAGGATCTGGGGCTCACCCACGGACACCGCTTGCCAGATTTGGGGATTTAACAGGCCCAAGTTTCCATTATGAATCTAAATCCCCTCCCAAAACACCAGTATTAGAAGTGGTAGGCAAGACCTCAGAAGGCCAAGACAGGGTTATTCTGCAAGATCTAGACTGACTTAAAGTCAATGAAATTCATCTACTATATGGCTCTGAATATTTTAATTACACTTAGTATATATCATAGTAAAAAACTGAAAAAGGAGGAATTCCTATACTTTCCAAGGAAAGATTTTCCTAGATGAAGTTCCCAAATGTAGTTGATTAATGTGAAGCAATTAGTGTTATTAACATTTATATTTCTGCCAGAAGAGGTGAGACCTGTGGTACTTAGAAAAACACATAAAAGGTTTTATGAAAACCTAATTTGTGGAAGAAATGAGGGAGGAAGGAGTTTAGCTTTTAATCCTGTAATGAGTGACTTGCTAATGAAAAAGAAATTCGCCTAGAAGGCTTTCCCAGGAAATACCCTACTTCGTAAGATTAATTTGTATAATGTCCCCAATCTTTTGGATTTTGAAAGCTCTTTGAAACTGTGTTTATAAAGTATGTGAATGTCTAAATAACAAAAAAAAAAAAAAAAAAAAAAAAAAAAGAGGAAAAAGGTACAAAATAGCTAGTTTGATGGAGGATGTCCCTTTGAGAAAGATATCCATAGGAGGAAAAAAAAAAAAAGACATCACAGTTACAGGCCCTAAAACTGTTCTTTAAATTCAAGCCGAGCTGATAGCTGAACAACAAGGTTTACGGAACAGATGTTTTCTCTTCCCTTCTGCTTTTTTCTTCTTGTGTTGACTTTTTTTGTTTACTGCTCAGCCTACCAGTGCCCAGTTTCATGCCTGGAACCTACAAATTCTTCCACAGTTCGCATAAGAAAATCTACTCTAAGTGACAGATCCTTTCCCATATTCTGATGCTTGTCCAAGACACAGTTACAGCTTCTCAGGGACCTGTTGTAACACCCACAGCGCAAGGAGCAGAACACCCAGGTGGAGTCAGGCTATGACTCCACAGCCTGGTGTGTGGTACCATGCACAGCCAGCTAAGCTCAAGTTCCAAAGCACTGCAGTGCCAGTAGCCTGGACCGTTTTCCCCTTTCTCAAGAGGGCTACATAATCAGTTATGGAGACATCGCTTCACAGAACAGCTTTGCACACACACCATGTACCCTAAAGACTCGAGCCTTCTCCTGCACATCCCTACATATCTTCCATCCCAAGCTCCTGGCTCCACCAGCCCTCAGTTTGGTACCTGAATCACTCTCTGTGTTGCAAGTCACCTCTCTGAGAACTAAGGACCTCTCCAGTAATGATGTGGAGCCCTGAACTGGGAAACACTCAGGCAGAACTCTACTCCACAACTGCATTATTCTGCTTCAGTTTAGACCCAGGTCTGGTGGGTGGGAAATCTCAGCAGTCCCCTTTGCTCCTGAGGGCTTAAAGCTGGGATCCTGTACTGGCAAGAGCACTTGAAGCAGGCAGGGAGGTGCCCTCCCTCCTCCTGAAGCATGCAGATCACCCGGGTATGGTGTATGGCACCTGGAAAGACCCAGAGAGGGTTTGCGAGTGGAAGGCAATGGGGGACAAGCGCTGCCTCTCCTCCCAGCCAGGCTGTTAGAGCGCCCTTGCTAGCAGAACCCATCCAAGAAGCCTGAGGCAGCAAGACACGCGTGGGGCTGACCTCAGGGAGGACAGGACATCAGGGCAGCACCTGCGCTGGCTCTGCCAACAAAGGCATCAGCCCACCCGGCTCCCCAGGGCGCTTCTCCTCGCCTTCCTGCTCACTCATATCCCCATTTCCTACCCCAGTCTGAAACACCTCAGCAGTTAGTACAGAACCAGAGATCAGCTCAATACAGAGCACTGAGCAGAGGCTTACTATCTGGCTGTGAGGAAACATTTTGCTGAATGGGGACTGTTGATGCAGAATGCTGCAACTGCGGAGAGCGAAGCAACGTATTGATTGAGAAAAATGGCCTTAGGTTATGTTTCTCCCCCTTCAGCAGTGAGGGATGGAATCTAGGGTAATAAATGTTTCTTGATCTTACATATGCTGACTTGTTTGACTTCACCATTTTCAGTTTCTCATGCTGGTTAGCTGCACTACTACTTTGTAAGGAAGTCAGTGAGGTTCCCTTCCTGCACTCTGCTCAGCATCACCATCTAGTTAATTCAATGCTTCTCAAGCGGTATGTTGGTGCTCACAGCCTTGGAAAAGCAACCTATACAGAATATTTCTTCTATAGTTCCAGTTTATATCAAGACACCTTGCTACTATTTCAGTTCCAAGCAGAAATTAGTTAAAAAGGAAGAAAATGACCGCCAGTGCAATATTTATACAGCTAGACTAAACTTCCAATTCATTATCAGACATTTAACTATGGCATGAACCATGACACCCACCACCCCACAGTTTGCACTACCCTTTCAGATGCAACTACTCTTGTGACTGGACAACTGTAGCCAGTACCTCCTTCAGAACCCTCACTTAGTCATGAGAAGTAACTTATCTGAAAAGGAGGGGGTTTAAATTCAAGAAAAAATCCATCTCATTAACAGCTCACCTGCAGAAAACAGATTTCCTAGGTAAATTTTCCCAGTATAGGCAAAGCCACAAGTTCATATTTTCCTGTCTATTTCTTCCCACAAACATGTTTTAAAGGAAATATAAGCACACCCTAAAGGATAAGTGAGGATTTGGGGTTTTAAGTTTACAGCCAGCATCTGAAGAAAATCACCCTTAATGGGTTACTAGAGTCACTCACCTGATCACAGGTGGATCTAAGTTCTCTCCACGACAGTATTATTCCCTCCCCTGCAGAATCACAGGTGTAATGTTTATGTAAATATAAGTAGGTTCACTGCAGAAATCAGTATGAAGACATGGAAAAAATTGTGTGCTGTACCTATACCAAGAGTTAAAAATAAAGTAACTTTCTAGGCTTGCTACCTTATAGAAAGGTTTAGTCATTCTGGTTTGCTGAAGAAAAGGCAGAAGAGCAATGAGATGGCACATGGGGCTTCCCCTTTGTTCTATGCCAACTGCCTCTGGAAGGGTTGTAGGATGCGTTCAGAGGGGGATTTTGGGGGGTCTTTGGGGAAGGAGTCAGAGTTGGTCAGGCAGAGATAGCTAAGTTTCAGGA